TAGTTTAATAATTTACTTGTACTCTGAAAAACTCCAGCTTGTATGCTATAAAAAAAAAAAAAGCTCATACCTCATAAACTTGTGACTGAGTTTTTGTCTAGTTCACCTAGAAACTTCAAGGTCTTCCAAAAAGATCTGGACTCAGAGTATGATGCCAGTTTGAAGAAGCCCAGTTTTCCAAATCAGCAAAGATTTTATTTGATCATATGGTCATAGAGGCAAATGACAATGTTCCCCCTAGCTCGCCTTTTTAAAATATATTTGCTCCCCTTTGAAGCTTCAGTTTATCACACTTAAAGAAGGTTTGAAGGGGTTTGATATCCACTGCCCTGCAGCTAGTGTCTCTGTCTACATAGTTGTTGTGCAATAGAGTCTCTTAGGTGCCGAGGAAAGGATAGAAAAGTGGCCGTTTAGTTTAACGGCAAAGGGACAAGTGCTGGCTCTCTTGCAGTCGTTAGCAATATAACTGACATTGCTGCAGGGGAAGCCTGAAAACTTTGGCAGGCTCAAGGTGAGAGAGACTAAGATATTACCATTGGGAAGCAAGTCTTCTATGCAAACATTTGAATTTTTTGAGTTACCAGCCACTGTGAAGCCCCCACACCCTCCAAACAGGGGTGTCAGTGACCCTGCAGATATGGTGACAGACAGTAAAGATGTATGTAGTAACTGGGGGCTGCAACATACAGAGGATTAAATGTGTTGTGAAAAAAGGCCAAATGTGTTTTCAAACAGCCGTGGTGAGTTTAATCTATGTGAAGAATGCATTCACACAATCTGCTTTATTCCTATGGTCTCTGTCCTCTTCTGTATTTATGGTCTTTCAACAAGTTTTTTTGCTTGTGCCCTGTTCTCCCCATTTTGGTGAACAGAGAGTCCACAGAAACAAGAGTGGAAGCCCAATACAAGGGAAGCATTAAAACCAACCACTTCCAAAGCTCTTAACATGTACATTTTCTGTGTATGTGTACACAGAAAATCCCCTAGGGAAATTAACTTTTGCTCTCTTGTTGTAATTCTTTTATTTCTAGCTGTTACTCTAACAGTAGCAAGAGACAGGTTTTCAGATCACTTTAGTAGCTTTGTTTCATAGTAATTAGTTCAGTAGCTATAGAATTTATTAATCAAAGAGATGTTTGAATTCGATCCAGTGTTATGTATTTGGTATGTATGTAGTGTGTTTCAGAGCACCTGACAATTAAAACTGGTTTTGATTTTATATGTTTTTGTTGACCATGATTTATATATGGAAAGAATAGTTTACAATTTCAAAGGTTTGGTGAAGTAGTTTCATTTTTTAACCTGAGATACTTGGAAGAATGAACAAATGACTGCTCTTAACATAAAGAAATAGGCAAAGAAATTGGTTGATTTCCTTCAATATCTGATAAAAGAAAATGTTTTTTAAGTGAAACTGATTTCATATTGGACTCTTCATCCAAAAACTAAGAGAATTACATAAATTAAGAAAGTCTCATCTAAAATTCTGTGTATCTAAAGTACTTGTATTTTTCTGCTTTCTTTGAATGTTCTTCAGAAGATTGCAGTGAAATAATTTTGCATTTCAAGGATGGGTGAAGCTTAGCTGTTAACCAGCTAAGAGAATAAACAGGGAAAATAGGCAGCCTAATGAATGAGGAAGTGAATGGATTAAAATATTTCCATAATTTTTTTTACTGTTTCTACTTGTTTACTTTTACTGTTATATGTTGATAAGGTGAAGTTTTGACTCATGTGTTATGTTTATTTAGACTAAATCACCTGCTCTGGTCAGCTGTAATTCTTACAAGGAGCTACTGTAGGACTGATTCCCCCTCCTTAGTTGTTGTTGGCTTTATTGGACTGTCTCCTGATCTGTATCCTAGTAAAAAAGAAAAGAAACTACTTCTTTTACTTATTTAAAATATTTGGTTACATATTTTTCTTAGAATCTGCAGTGTCATTTAAACTCACTGGTACCCTCGTGAGAGTTTCCTGTTTATCTCAGCTGATGTGGATTCAAGGCACTGAGGAATTTCTAGTTGTCCTTTCACTATCCTGACATTTCCAGGCTTCAGGACAATGATACAGGGAACCAGGTCTGAACACTCCTCTGGCACTCTGGGTATGTGATGCCATATGCTGGTGCTGGACATAGTTATTCTGACATTTATCCTGAGCTTTTGAACACATGTTCTGACAGCTTTCCTTTCAGCAGCAGATTGCTGACAGGCCAGGTCCACATTGCACCTGTTTAACTTTATGCTAGATCAGATGTGGTCTGTACTTTTGTAGTGGGCTTGAAGTCAGCATAAGCTTCCAGTCTTGTGCTCAGACTTAGTTCAGCATAGATGGGATTGTACGCTGCTGCCTGATTCAGATCAAATTGATATTGTTCAGTGACCTGCAGGACATGGACAAGGTATTAATGATGGTCTTTTGACACATTTGTGCCTATATGAAGCAGCTGATGAAATGTTATGACTTTGCTTTTCACAGCAGCAGCCTTTTACTTTGCAGTCTCTTTCAGTGGTGGGAGCTGATGATTTATTTATTCTTCCATGATAATCTCCCCTGCCTTCTTTTCAGTGGAGGAATTGTAATTCTTTTGTCATAACAGCAAATGTTTGTCAATGGTAAAAAGAAGAAAGCCTTTTGCTTCTGTTTCCACATAAGAGTGGAAGGCTTATGTCAGTCCAGACAAATGTTCATGAGGACTAGAGTCTTGAATAACTTTTGTTCATCATTCCAGTAATACACTCTCCCCAAAGTACTTAATTTCTCATGTTTTCCTTTCAATGGCTAGCAATGAGGCCAATTTTTCTCATCATCCTTACCATAACACAGCAAATTTTCTTACCTGCTGTTGGCATCCCTGAGGTACTGTTTATACACAGATAATAATAGCAGACCCTGTAACTGAAAGGGAAACCAGAATGCATTGAGGATGCAACTTTCTGTATTTAACAGCACTGGTTTGACACTACTTCCTTTTCTGGTTTTTCTGCTGGGATGTGTTTTTTTCCAACATGAAAGCTTCAAGCAGCTCAGATTTAATAATGAGTAAATAGTAATTTCACTGTATTGTTGCAGATAGTTATTTGAGATGACACATGGCCTTTCACTAATGGAAATCTGACAAATGCACAGTCCTTAATTTCCTGATATGATAAAGCAGATATTATTGTTAATACTGAAATTTGTTTAAAGGTGACCTTTAAATGAAGGGTGGATAATGGCATGTATTATGTATGTATGTATGTATGTATGTATGTATGCATGCGTGCATTACAACTGTATTTCAGTGTCAAACCCAGTCGGGTTTCCTACATGGTTATAGTACACTTCTCTTTTATGTAATTTGGTGCAGAGTGTCTTTGGTTCTACATACTAAAGGCACTTTTCTGAAACACAGCTAACTGAACATTTATGTACACACATACATATAGGCATATTATGTAGTATTATGTATTTTTTATAGTGTGAATGGGGCTTGTAAATTTATTTCACCCCATCCAGCTTTTTGCTAAGAGAAGTAGTGTTCATGTTAACATCAGAGGCAACTTACATTTTTTGCCTAATGTTTGCTACTGGTTCCAGTTTAATTCTCCATAACATTATAAAATCAACTGCTGAGAGGCACATTGATTCAGCTTTACTGAGTTCAAAATATGTACTTTCCTGCTTCACAGGAAAGAAATCAAAATACCTTCTCTCTTTCTTTTGATTTAATTGAACATCTGTAGTGGGAACAGACAGTAATCCTACAAGAACTTAAATGCCTTGTTGTAGTGTCCGCAGTGGAGTTGAGTGCAGAATCAGGAATTCTCTTTACATGTTTGTCCTTGGAAATATTTGATCTGGAGAGAATTGGAGGATTTGGATTTTCTTCCTTTGACTGGGAAGGCCATTAATGCCTTAATGTACTTCTCTCTGCAGTCTGCAACCCATTTGAAGAACCTGGAGAAAAGGTTGTATGAGTTGTATGCCCATATCAAAAGTAGATTTAATTTAGGAAAATGGTTTGCATAGAAATACTTTTCACTGTTTGTCCTGATGTTTCTGTCCTGCTTTGTGGAGTATTCTGAACAGGGAAGCAGCTAGAAATGTGAATTGTCTAATTATTGATTTTCAGCTGTGGTGAGACTTTGCTATATGTCCAACAACTTCCTTATTGTGACCTGCATTTTAACTTTCTAATCTCAATGTGTTTTAATGGAGGCGATCATGTAAACTACCACCTGTGATCTAAATCACAACAAAAGGTACACTGGGCATTTTGAAGGTATGTCCCAGTGGCCAGCTACCTTTTGTGCTACTGTCTAGGAGCTATCAGTTTGAGTCATGGCAGCAGTGATTAAGAGCAGACTGTGGCCTTTAAAGAAAGTCCAGAATGCTTCTCAGTTTCATTCAGCTCAGATTCCTCTACTTAGACTCCTCTGAGGGGTGCTGGGTTCCAGCTGTAACTCTCTCCTGCTAGTGAAACTACTCAGCCAGCACTGCAGTCTGCATGCGTATTGGTGGTCTCCTTGCTTTATGCATGGGTAGTGGTAGGAATGATGGAAGGGCTTGCAACGGATTGGAGCTGCAGGGTTTGGTAGGACTCGGGACATGGTGCTGTTCTGGCAGCCTCCTTGGGTTCTCTCTTCCTGTCTTCTTCATAGAGAGCTGTCCTTCAGCTGAAGGCTTTTTACCTGGTGCTTTTTCTGATGTTTTTCCATCATGCCTGGTCTTTAGTTTATGCACTTCAGCCCATGTTTTGCACATGCATAATCTATTAATTCCCCTGTAGAATATTGCTATTTATATTTTGAGAAGTTTGCAAAATTCTTGTGTTGGTCCCCTGTTTTGTCCTCATCGGAAGATTCCCATTACTTTCTGAAGTTTGCAAAGTGATGTGATAAAAATGTGGGAGTTAGATGACAGAGTTCATGGGATGCTATAATATGAGTTCTGTGCCCTGTCATGGGTTCATGAAAGATAAATACTAACCTGCTTTGTTTATTTTAGGAGGTCTTGGTTATGGACACAAGGGCAAGTCCATTGGAAAAGGCAGTGGCAACAATGCAATAGTCACCAGCAATCTCATGACAGTTCAACAGCTGGGACCTCTTTCACCTTCAGTGAATCACCTTTCAACAGCATGCAGCCAGATCAGCCCTTGCTTACAAAGGTCTATGGATGCTTCCAGCCTGGGTGCTTCTCCATCAGATATAAGGTCCTCAATTACCTTTTTATATTCAGTATTTTAAAAGGAAGGGGTTTTAATTCTTCTGTAATTAAAATGTGACATTTCTGGTTATTAAAATCAGAGAATCATTCTCTGTTATGCCATGGGAAATTGAATTCCATGCAATTTAATTCAGATCAATTATAATCGTACTTCATGTTTGTATCATTCAAATAATGGGTGAAATTTGGCCACACAAAATCTGTGTATGGTAGGACTTTTTATTACATAAAGGCTGTTTTATAGTCACAAACTAGATTTTTGTACTAGGTATAGAAAGTGTTATGGAGGATGAAATCAGAAATAGTTCACATGTTACCTCTGCACAGTGCTAAATGAGCCGTGTTGGTATCTTTCAAATAACATCAAGGACAGACAAAAAAACCATAAATGCTCTGCACATGTTCCTCTCTCCTCATCAAATGCATTTGCTTTCAAATATTTTTTTTTACCATCTGATAATTAATCAGATCAATTGTCCTTGAAAACTTGTTAGTTTTCCTAGTTCTGTTGTGTAGGTAAAGAAAACTGACCACTGTAAATGTTGCCTTTTTGTATCACTACCCCACAGATAAACATTTATTAATTAATTTTAAACACTTAAATAAGAGATTATGACTTTGAGTTTTGTCAGCAGACATGAATTAGAGGAAAACAGGTATTTGAGAACCACCCTATAAGTACATTAGGCACATCCCTGGATGTTAAACACACAGTGAAAAAATATTCTAATGTATTACTTTGGAATCTACATTCCCCATTGTCTACTGAGTTGAAATGTAGTTTTTGTTTACATAAGACCATAAGGGTCTTTATTCTCAAAGCAGTTTACATTTACTGTGTTACTTTATCACAAGCCAAGGAACATTCCTGGAATAATTAAGATTGGTACTTTGCAAATGGAATAAAACCTTGCTTTACTGTTAAGATAATTTTTAACATTTCTGTCACTTTAGTTGTGAAGACTGAGCCCCCTGGGAAAATTTACAAAATTAATTATGCTTCCTGTGTAGACATGTCAGCAAAAACCATTCAGTGCTAAGATGATGACAAATGACAAATCCAAATACATGCCTTTCAGATCAAATAAAACTGATGCTAGAAAAATACAATTACACAGTTGTTACTTACTTAAGTTTTAGGTGTGCCTGTATGGTTCCAAACACTGAATGAGTGGTTGGATGTATCATGTCAGTACTGAGTTATGCAGTTTTGATTTTATTTCAAAGAAACATTTACTAAGGGCAAACTCAAGTTGAAACTCTGGCAGAATCAAGGCTGTGGTGTTCCTAGAGTACCTTTTAATGATTTATCAATGAAGGTGTTATAAAATAAGTTTATCACACAAAGAATGTCAATTTCAGCAATTTTTACCTCAATTTGTTTGATTAGGCAAAACAAGTTTAAAGTCAGATTCTAACTCAGAGATTGTCAAAACAGTGTGGGATTTTTTTTCTTTGTGTTTTTGGGGAGGTTGGTTATTTGTTGTTTGGTTTTGAGCTTTTTTTTTTTTTTTTTAATTAAATTTCTTGAACTATAAACTGGTTTTGCCTAAGTGAAGTTGACTGGTTCTTCCTGGTCAGAGTGCCTTCTCTGGATTTTATCTCTCAGGCACTATGAACTGTGTTCTGGCAGCTCAGCCCAAATCAGATTATTTGTTGAATTTGCCAAAGCTGAAGTGAATTTTCTTGATTTTTACTGAAGGAAGAAAGAAACCAGTTGGCAAAATGAGAGTTTTGCTAGACATAGCATCCGATTCTGGTGTATAGACCATGGAGGATAAAACCTCCCCCATCTTTTTTGAGTTTCTGCAGAACTGTTTTGGAATATTCAGTTGTGTTGCATCAAACCAGATGTAATACTGCCATTTGCTTTGATGCAAGTCAGAAAAAGATCTAGGAAAGAGCAAAGGGTTCTTGGCTAGTAAATAGAAGACCATAAAAAGAGAGAAAAACATAGTTTTCACTCTTCCATGTTTATGTTCAGGATTCTGGATTATACTCTGACATTGTGGCCTCTTTACACAAAGGGAGAATACAATGTAATTGCAAGTAATCTCCTGTAAATGTTAATGAAAGATCTGGTCCAAACTCAAACTGGTTTAATTTACAATAAGCAGATGCACCACCTAATGCCATCTGAGATTCTTTCACCCTGATAGATCTGGTCCCTCATTTTCATATTAGGTGTATTTATTTTCCTCCTATTAGAAAACTACTTAGTCACAGTGTGGGCTGAATTTTAAATCAATCTTCATTTTTGGGGTTGGAATTTTTATTATTTTTTGAATTTAGATGCTGAAGTGCTGCAGCTTCTTCAGAATAGCTGGCTCTTCCTTATTGTATACTTGAAATTCTGGGCCAGCTTTTTATTTTCGTCCTATTATGAGACTTTAAAAAAGCAGTTTTTCTTCAGATTCACTGGTGGATATGCCCCTTCATGTTAGGCATTAGTAGCTTTTTGTATGACACTGGTTGTACTATGCATCTGCTTAAAATTCTTGTCAGTACAAAAATAGACTTTTTATTGATGCACAATTTCTTTCGCTTTATTCATAAAAGAGAAAATAAAAATTTTTTTAAAACCTGGCAGAACACCCCTACCACCTCCTTATATTTTCCGGCTGTGAATCATAGCATGGAGTTCAAACCTGTGGATAGTATGTTGGGGTCACAACATACTAGCACGATTTAATCGCCCTATAATGAACTGTGCTTTAGCAAAGCTCATTGACAACAGCCTAAATCAACTTTTTCACAAACAGTCATCCCTTTAGATCTAAATGGCACACAAGACTGACCTGATAGAGCAGTCTCATTTTTCTCATTTCTCCCAATACAAATTGTAGTCAGCATGCTAATTGTGCTTTTTGTCTGTAGTCTGTTTTGCAAGTGCCGTTTACACCCTGATGGAGTCACGTAAGGTCCATGACAGTACCCTGCCCTGACATTGAATCAGAACAGGATGTTTCTATTCTGATGCAGCAGATCAACCATGCGTGCCAGTATCTTGTGCAAAGGGGCATTTAACCGTCTCTCCCTCTGGTCACCACAGCAGGGCTTGCTGTTCTTTTAAGCTACATTTTTCCTGTTTGTGAGCTATCTTACAGATACAGCACCTGCAAACTACTTCCTCTCTCTCTCAGGCCATGCCAAGCTTCCCCTCCAGTGTCCTCGATCTGTCATTGAAATTCCGTGCTTCTTCAAAACGGTGTTGTTAAAATAATAAAACCAAGAATTAATTCTCAAAACATAAGATGCAGAGGCTTCTGTGAGATTGTCAGATTTGTTTGGATACATAACCAGTTCTTCCTATTGTAAGATCTCCTTAAAAATAGAAATTTATATACTGATAGCACCACTAACTGGTAGGGAATCCAAATGTGCCTGGGTGTGAACTGGAAATGAAATAAATCCGGTTAAGCTTCAGCCAGCATTTATAGCCATGACTCAGGGCACTTGATGCCCCTTTTATTTCTTTTTTATCTTTTTCTGTAGAAAACAATACTTTTAAGGGCCTGTATGTTGAGGGTTTTGAAGCTATCCAAAGAATATTTGCAGCATAAAGTCTCACAATATCTCTGTGAAAAATGCTCAATACCAGCAAGATTACACTTTCTTGAAAAATTTTGATTGCTGACTTGGAGGAAGATACATCTTCAAATCAAATCTAAGAAACCTCTTCAACCAGTTCTCCTACATTACTAATTTATTTTGTTTGTTTCGTAAAGTTAGATATTACCTGTATTTATAAACTTGATATATAAAACTGCTGTAGGGAAGTATTTGTAGTATTTGTATATATTACAATTGACAATTGTCGTTCAGATTGAATATCCATTCCCATTGGATTAGTTTTCTTTCTGTTTTTTTCAAGAAAAATAATAGATTACTTAAATCATTATGGGTTTCATAGAAGGCAGGAACATAATGCTTTGGCTTCAGAAATCCAAACCTATTTACACCACAATTGATGAAAAGACATGCAATAATTTCTGCAATGGAGGATCAAGAATCTTTACAGTAACTTTCTTTCAAAATCTTGAAGTTTTAAAGCTGGCTTCCTAAGTGACCTTTTTACACGTATATTACCCCTGTATAACTACTGGTACATTAACTGAGTGTGCTGAGCTTGAGCACCTAGTATTAGGGAGAGCTCTTCTCACATGTAGCCTTTCCTTATTTAAGCATGTGTGTGAAGGTAAAAGATCTACTTTTGAATTGTCTAACTGCTTACTTTATTATACTTTTATTTCAGGTCACTCTTGTCATGTGAGACTCTGGCCTCTACAACGTTAAGCTTGTCAGAAGGTCACTCCCCTGTGAGTGCTGAACAAGAGTGGTCACACAGGTACAGGACACTTTCTTCTGCTCCTCCTGACCATGGTTTACAAAATGGCAGTGACCTGGGGAACTTAATAAATTTTTTGCCTGAAGCATCTACATCCAGTAACTCATTACTGTCCTACTTATATGGCATGGAAAATAAGAGTTTCACTTACTCTAGTGCTTGCCAGTCCTCAGTCTGGTCTCAATCAGCCCACTCCAAAAAGAGAGCACTCTCTGTATCTCCTCTGTCTGACGGCATTGGGATCGAGTTCAATACAATCATTCGTACATCCCCAACTTCTCTGGTGGCCTACATCAACAGCGCCAGGGCATCGCCAGCAAACGTCTCCACACAGCCTGAGGTCTATGGACATTTTTTGGGAGTAAGAGGAAGCTGTATACCCCAAAACTGCTCTGTTTCAACTGCCCAGAAAGGCTTCCACATGGCGAATGGCAGTGTCACTTTTTCAGGGTATGTTGAGAATGGGACAGGTGAGTACCAGCGGATGCAGCAGCTGGAGCAAGCCAGCTTACAGATGGGTGCCACAAATAACATGGTGATCCAGCAGGGTGTGCTGCCCATGGACAGCCAAGCAATGGAGATCTTGAAAAATGAACAGCTGGATGACTTCTCAGGCCCTATTGGTGACATGCCTCTTTCATCCCTGGTGCTGCCACCACCTCCTCCACAAGGGCCGCCCCCGCCGTACCATGCCCACCAGCACTGCCATCCGCACGGCCTGCCCAGCCACATCCCCCCGCTGCAGGTGCTGCCTCCTGCCCCGGGCGCCCTGCTGGAGGAAGATGGCGAGCTGGACGATTCCAATGGCAAGCATGGCTGTTGCTGGGTTGACTGCGGGAAGCTGTATGACCATCAAGAGGAGCTTGTGCGGCACATAGAGAAGATCCACATAGACCAGAGGAAGGGAGAGGACTTCACCTGCTTCTGGGCAGGGTGCCCTCGAAGGTTCAAGCCATTTAATGCCCGTTACAAACTGCTGATTCACATGAGAGTCCACTCAGGAGAGAAGCCGAACAAATGCACAGTGAGTCTGAGTTCTGTCTTTCTTAACAACTAAAGGCTCTCTATTACTTAGGAAAATACAGTGAAGTTGTAATTCTGCCTTTGCTTCTCCCATTTAGTGGTGTACTTTTTAAACTAGTCTGTGAGAATGAAATGACTAGTTTGTTCCGTCTTTCCACCTAAACAGAAAGGAAAGCTGTTCTTTAATTTGATACATACCAACTGATATGATTAGTCAAAATGTTGTGTTTTCTATATTTATAAACTTTTATTGTAGACTGCAACAAGTGACATGGTAAACCTTCATAATGCAAAACTGAGGCACTGTCAGTACCTAAGTATTTGCATGAAGGATACATGCAGGAAAAGTGCTGCAGAATAAATGTCACAATTTATCCTGAGAGATTCTTGCATCATGTGACACCTTTTTGACTTGAGGAATTTTCAAGACCTTGCATAATGTTACCACAAGAAACTGAAAAGAGTTGGGCATTTTTAAAGGCAGTTGTTTGTTCTACTACTAAAATCCAAACCCACATACCTGTTTCCATTAGTGCATTAGGAATAAATCCCATAATAATTATTCTTTTCACAGATTCTAGCAGTGAGCATTCCACCCCTGAAGTCATGTTTTTCTAGCAAGAAAAGTTTCTTAGGGTCGCTGCCAGTCCGTCTAAAAACTAGGTAGTCACATGGGTTAATAATCTGGCTGTAATCAGTTTGTGCTTGGTCTCTAGTGCACTATCTATAATCTCTGTAATTTATATTCTCGAATTGCCTTTACATATGGTCTGTATTTTGGATGACAATGAGCTTAACCTTACTAAGTGCTTATTTAGTGTCGTCAGACAGCAACCTCACCAGTGCAGTTTTGAGTCTGCCGCATAAATGATGATGAATATATAATTTCAAGGAATAACCTCTGATTAAAAAACATATGTTTACATGTGGTGAAATTTGAATTGGTGCTTGGAGTCTATATCTGTGTATGCATTGTTGAATAATTTTTTTAGCATGATGTAGATGTTTGCTTATACAGATAAAAGAAGAAGTTTTTTTCTTTTATTTTGTTTTTTCAAAGGGCCAGTGTCCTGCAGGATAGAGTGGATACCTTTCCAGATTTTCATCCTGAATTTAAAGAACCTAGTAGAGATTGTGTTATGATGCTAGAAAGACTTTTTATCCTTCCCTTTTGTCACACCGGAGCCTTAACTCAGGCTCTCTGCTTTCTGAATATTTTTTAAAATTCCATAATATTCTTTTTCTGCTCTCCTCACATATTGGATCAGGGTATACCATTAATTTCAGTACTTCCTCAAGGATTTCTCGTCACATTTATGGGAAGAGAGAGAATGAGGAAAAAAAATTACCATGAGTTAAGAAAGTAATTTTTTAAGGGAATATCACATGTAATTAAAGGTATGGAGACAGACATAAGCGGATGAGTAAGGGCAGACAACAGGATGAAGAAAGAGCGCAGGAATGATGAAAGAGCACTGAAAAAGAGTAAATCCAAGAACCCAAGTCTTTACAATAGAAGAATTATGATGAAGGATCCTGTAATACTGGCGAAAACCTTGTGTTGGTAACACACTAAACTCCTTGCCCTCCCTGTTCAGAAAGGGTGCTTACAATGACCTCCTGATTGTAAAGCCTCCTTGAGGTGTGTCCTTAGCTTTGAAGATCATTCAATGTGTAAGTGGATAAGGTATTTCATATGATAAAGTTTTTGAAATTACTAAGCCAAAACTAAAATGCACACCAAGTCTTGCTGTGTCACCAAAAATATAAGAGGTGTCTAGATCAGCTTCTCAAAGAGGGATTGCTTTTTAAAGTGTGATTAATATTACTGAACTGAAGCAAGCATTGCTGGATAGCACCAAGAAGTTTGTGTATCAGAAGCAGCACTCACATACTTACATTTCTTTCATGCTGAGAATTGTAATTAAATGTAGGAATACAGAGGGTGATATGATAACCCTCATAACGTGAGTATAAATCTAGCATCTATGTCCCTTTTCTTGGAATAAGCAAGCAGAAATGTAATTTTTTAGCATGGTTTGAATGAAACAACTCAATGCTTTATTCCTTTACCAATTCACAGATGGTGTGAATTTGGAAAAAATGTATTTGGCTTTCTAATGTCCAGCAGTCATAACTTCTTGATATATTTAGGAAATTTGCTTCAGTCAAACATCATACCTTTCTCACCAAGCAGCGAATTTTCAATCATATCCATGCCATGTAAGGTTTTAAACGGAGACTTTAAGTGAGGTATTTGGGAGAACATTTTGGGCAAGATGATCATGAAGAATGACTTCCAAATGAACAAAAATTATGCTAAAGCTGAAAATTTTCACTATTTATGCTTTTAAATTTTTTAAATTTTATGAATTTATGCTATTAAGTGCAAAATCAAAACAATCCATTTATAATCTTTATTTGTCCATCTAGAGTCTTTCTATAATTTATTTTCTGGTTCTAGGTGTAGCTTGGCTGTTTCTCTGAAATTACTGAAACTAGTAGTCTCTATATCCACTGTATTTTGCAGTCTAGTAAGAGGAAGTGCAGTAGACCAAGCAGGAAAAGGGAAGGAAAAATGCCAAATATACATATATTATTTTAATGAACCAGATTTACTGTAAAGAATGTAATAGAAATAGTGAGTCATTAGGAGGAATTATCTTAATGTAGTCTATCAAGACATCCTGTAATCAAAGGCAGGCTATTACACCAGTCATCGTACTGCCATCACACACTGATCATTGTGTAAGCATTGCACTTGTTGGTGGTTCCCAACAGTTTGCAAGACACAATCTTCTGCCTGAACATAAATTGCAATGGGTCCTAGTCAATATACTGTCATGTCAGTATATTTACTTGTCAGTGTTGTTTATTTCTGTACTACTGTGTATTGAAGGTGTATTGTTACATATTGTGCTGTGTATCCCTAAGGACTACTGTGATATCACAGTGAGCTTTACATCAGCAAGATTTATGTGATTTCAGTATTTTTTAAGGTGAGGGTTATTTCTATGTTGTATTGCAACAATAGTAGAGATAACATGAAATTAGATACACAACTTCATAAGCTGAACTTTGTAACAAAATTTTATTATTGTCTATTATTGTTTTGTCATGATGAAATCATGTAGTTCAGAATAGACTTGCAGAACATCTGGGACTTCAACACTTTATATGCTTATCCTTAAAACCAGAACCATGCTTATAGTTAAAATCACAGTCAAGTGACCTCAGCATTTGTTTTGCCACATCTGAGTTAGTATCTATTTATCTATATAACAAAAAATTAGGGTAATTTTAAATTAAAGCTGCCAGCAATATTTTACTCTTTAGTTCCTGCTCATTCTGGATGAGCTGTCTTCTTTGATTCTGGAAGATAAAATTGTTGAAGGGTGAATAGTAATCAAATATCAGCACATAAAAACATGTGACAATCAGGATAATCAGTTCCGAACTTAAAGAATTTGTTTGGAATAGCAATTCTTTAAATAGTTGTTAAAATGCATTGGGTTCCCTTACTGTTCATTAAGCAACTTTCATGTTCTATTCTAACTTACATCACCTGGGAAGCATTCTTCTTTTCAGTGACCTGGTTTAGTGACTAAAAAGTTACTCATGACATGGTGCTACCACTACTACTACTACTACTACTACATATTTAGTATCTGCTCCTAAGCTTCTTCATATAAAGTAGATATAGTATGTTCTAATGTGTTGTATTTAATAATCTGTGTGTTAGCTTATACTTTTTTGGAATAAGTCAGAAAAGAAAAAATATGAAGAAAAGCTCATATCGAAATGCAAGTAGTAAGTACAACAGTGGCTGAGATATAATCTGTAATGTTTGATAGCAGTTATCTTGCAATGGCATTTGAGGCTTCCGCAGATTTTGTTTGAATTAGAAAAAGGCTGAATTCTCTTTAGCTGTTGAAACCTCAGAGCAGCAATTGGCAAATGCTGACCTTTGTTCTCTTTGTCTCTACCTATGAGCTAATTTTCTACTCAGGTTCACTCCTTTTGTAGTGAACATTTTTACTTTTTTAAGTTCAGCTCCAATAAGAGCTATTTAAGTAGTCTTATTGTCCTGCTATGAAAACATTAAGCTTAACACATTTATTCTGGTGTAAGCAGCAACAGCATGATGTTAGAGATAAATTCCAAGCTCACACTTCACAGCTTTATTCAGATGCACTAAGAATGCTTCCCCTTTTGAGGCTGAGTTCAGTCTTGTTGCTTTCTGTAAAGTCTGAGCTATGCTGCAGCCCAATATCTTTAGTATTGGTAGTACTACTTGACAACATTTTTTTTAGTGCAGCTATTTGATGTGATATAAACCCATAAAATCACTAGTATTCCTGTCAGATTCGAAGCAACATCCATTTAACATCTGCTAAATACCTAAAATTGTCCCACAACACATCTGCAAAGCATGTGAAACAGAATGTATGTGAAAAAGAACATGAAGCTTAAAATACTTTTTTAATGCCTTTTTTTTGAGACACGAGCAATGTTCTTGGGTGAGCATGAGTACTTGCATGGATGTGTGTATGTGTGCTGTTTGAAGAACATGTCCTTGGAAAATGGTGTCCAAGTGCAAATTTGATTAAAACCAGAAATGCATTCTGTAAAAATGATTGGGATTTTTTTTCCATCTTTGGGCTTTAGCATTGCGTCTTCATATGGTATCTTATATATGGCATGTGCAAATATTTTGTTTACAGTATATGCCATGTTTCTTGATAAGACCATATAATATCCTATATTGCACTGAAATTTTGATAAAATAGAAACTATAAACAATTTTGAATTTGTTTTTCCTTATATGTTTGCAGAAGATTTTCCACTATGCTAAAGTAGCATTTGAGTACATTGTCTTAAACAATGTCACAAGAATGTTAATTCAATTGTTGAGTCAAATTGCTGAAAATTAGAAAGAGCTAAATTTACACTTGCCTGTTGCTGATTCTTTCACTAACTCAGTAAACAAGCTGAAACAGA